ATTCTCCCGCTGAATGCAATTGCTCCAAGTTCAAATACTAAGCACAGAGTTTATGAGTCACAAACCAACCTCTGTGTTTTATGGAGTTATTTTTTTTTTCTTTTAGCTCAAATTGTATCTTAAAAGGTTTCATAGCTTGATGGGTGCTGTGCCTGGCGGTGATAAAGACGCCAGTATCTTCCTTGCAGCAGACCTCGCACTTTTATGGGAACTTCTTGGGCCCTGTTTACATTTACAAGACTTGCTTGCCTCCTGTATGCATTTCAGTTTACTATCACTCATATTGTTTTCATAGCTTGTCCTATATATCTTTCTATCCACCACTACTCAGACCATGGAAATAAAGGAGGTTAGTGGCTTCATTCTCCTCCAATATGCACTCTCCAAACTGGTCTGCTGCTGCCTGTGACCTAGGAATTCTCTACTCCCCCATCCTGTATTCCCTCTTTCCCTCCCTATTCCTTCCCAGACCTTACCCAAGGATCATAAAGAATGCAAACTGAGTGCTACCTGAAAACTACTCCCGCCACCAAAGTCTTGAAAGACAGTGAGCTATACTTGCTCCCTTACTATCAGACAGCAGTCTGGGTTCTATCCAGGAATCTGCTGGGAGAGGGCTAATTAGAAGTTTCATGGCCTTCTATCTGCAAAGCATGAGTAAAACTATCTTGTGAAGGGGCTAATTCGCTACAACACTTGAAAAATCTTTCACCAGGCTCCGTCAGCCTGTAAATCATGTGACTGCACAGGACTAGACCTGTTTCTAATCAACATCTAATCACATCCTAGCACATACCAACCATCAGCATCACACATTATTTATATTGCTTTCTTCATCTCTAACTTAGCTTTTTAATTACCAGTGGTGTATAGCTCTCTGCCTGGGGAAGAGAAAGTCTAGCCGCACTGACAACGTGTTTAATTTGGGTGAGGGTGTGATGCACACGGCTCACCATGACAGTTACCTTCCTCTCCCAAGACTATGGGCTGAATGGCTAGGTGGCCCCTAAGCCCATGGGTTGGATCTCTAACCCCAGTGCGATGGTATTTGGATGTGGAGTCTTTGGTGGAACCCTTGAGACAACTTTAATACCCTTAGAAGAAGAGGTAAACACAAGTTTTTATCTATTATCTATCTATCTACCCTGCCTTCTTCCCTCTTCCCCATCTTCTCACAGCCAAGGAAAGGCTGCATAAACACCCAGCAAGAAGGCAGCAGAGAAATGCTTTTGTTTAAGCCACCAGTCTATGATATCTTGCTGTAACAGCTGACTGAGCCACCCATAGCAAATGTAATCATCATAAAAATCAAAATGAATAAACTGTACTTGCACACCTAGTGTCATCCGTGCACTCGTTTCCCTACGTGCAGAAGTAGCCATGATGTTTACTGCTGGTGACTCAGAATGCAATGGGCTGCAGTAAGACGACCATCTGTTTGCTGGATTGGATAAGTGGAATTAAGACAGGAAGCAGCAAGTTTATTGTCAGTGCGACTTAAATGTATGTAACAGAAGGTAAATGATCTTTCATTTGGGGCAAATGAACACAATATTCGCAATGGATAGAGCATAAATTAATGTCCGATCCTTTACAATTCAAGTTGGTTTTTCCATTTGGGTAGTTTCGTCTCTGGTAAACTTAGGAAGAGCTGACGCCGCACTTTTGTGACTTGAACTTTGAATTGTTTTATCCCTCCTCTCCCATGCTTCATCTGCGATAGGAAGCAACAATCACCACAGAAAGATTTAAAGGCAAGTGAGGTTGTTTGATCGTTATTATTGCTTTTGCTCTGTGTAGGCTATGGTAGCAACTTGCTTCTAGAGCTTCCGGCTGATTGTGGTGTTAGAGGATTCTTTGGTTCTTTCGTGTCAGGAGGAAAGCTGCTCTGGGTACTTACTATGAGTGGCCATGCCCCTGAAACTCTTTAAATGGGTTGTCAGTATCCTTCGGCAGAAGTAGAACCTAAAACCATTAGGTGCTAACTGGAAACAGCTGCTCTGCTGAACCAAACAATACAGAGCTCTCAAAAGCAGAACAGCCCCAGACATGGAGTGCTGGTGCTCACACACCATGGTCCCTGAGAGCCAAGGAGTTCGCCATAGCTTTGGGCATGCCCAGAGTGAATTTAAGTTTGACCGAGGGAGGGCCGTGGCTCTTGCAGTGATATAGTCCCACTTCATGAACCACTCTGAATTTAATGGTGTCAGACCACAACAATCATCACTGTTATCGCAACTGTTCAGAGACTCTGCTGGATTCTGGTGTGTGACCCGAGTCCCTCCCACCAGGCTGGGTATGGAGGACTCAGAGGCCTCCCCAAGTGACCTAAGAGAAAGCCAAGCCTTTTCCAGCCTAACCTAGTGATTCACAGCGCATCACTCTACCACTTTCTTTCTCCAGATGTGAGTCACTGCGGGCAGCACACTCACAAAGGGCAGAGAATCAGAGTCCACTGTTCAGTGGGAAAAGAGTCAAAGAATTTGCAGATTTGTTTTAAACTATCACAATCATTTGCACTGGGCAATACAAGGGATACCCGTCTTCATTTTGGTGCCCAGACCTTGATGGGACCGTACAAAACCGTAACCAGCAATTTTGAAATACACTGAAAGGTAAAACTTCCTATCTTAACCCCCTGATAGATTCAGGTCTTAAGAGACTTGACTGAAAGATGAATACATAAGCAAAAGCTAAGACCAAGCCCTCTCAGGAAGCACACATCTTGGAGACGGTAAGAAGAGGGTCCAAGACTGTTCATTTATTGCTAAGGGACAAGGACTAACGCAACTTCAAAGTGAAAAGAATCTGAAGACTGACAGTGGAATCATTTTACTTTGAGATGTGTGTTTGTATAGAGTTGTGAATAGTTGTCATTATAGATTATGTGCTGAAGAATTCTCAAAAATTCCTTCACGCCTCACAAAGGTGATAAAGAACACCTCTAGCTATTATGTACATAGAATCCCAGATCCCAGAGCAACAAAACTAGGTAGCAAGCTTCTCTGAAAGCATTTTCTCTTAACAAGAGTTATTTCTGTCCAGGTGTCATACACTGTTCACATCTACCTTGTAAGATGCTCAGTATTTGAAATTCACACAGCTTACAAATAGGTTAGACTAATGTAATTTACAATAGCTAACATACCCAACAGGTTTTCTTTTCAAATTCTGAATAAAAGAGTGAAAAATGATCACATCAGTTGCAAGTGCTAAGAGAGAGGCTGAAGGGAGGCCCTTCCTTCTGCCTGGGGTGACATAACTGTTGGGAGATAAGAAAGAAGCACTGACACTCTCAGCCCTGCGTAGACTGCCCAATCTCTCAGTTTGCTCTTCAGTAGGGCAGCTTAGGTTAAAAGAGTAACACAGAGACTGTTCCCTAAACGCAGTAGTACTTGGAGCCCTATATTTGTTAGCCTAGTAATGGATATTTTGACCCCGTAGCTCTCAAACTTCAAAGTCCATAAGAATCGTCTGTGGAGCGTTCCTGGTTGGCATCCCAGAGACCCTCACTCAGCAGGAAGTTTGGGGTGAAAACTGAAATGAATCTGAGTGTCACCGTCCTGGGACCAGGGGACACAACTGGGGACCGGACACAGTCTCTGCCCTCATAGAGCTGACACTCCCAACAGCCAACCTTGGCTTTCTTAACTCCAGTCGAAGGCCTCATCCTCAGTAATTAGAAGGATATTAGAAAGAGCCATGAGGTGAGAGGAAGGTTTCAAAGAACATAGTAAACGAGCACCCGACATCAGGCAATGAAGTGCTATGACAGAAAAATAAGCACTCAGAGAAGCAGAGGGCAATGCGTGTTACTGTTTTATTTATTTTAAGTGGATTGTCTTTATTGTTCATTAGAAATCGAATGCACCTAAAGAGAATCAGTACATCCTATGTATCAAACAGAAAGTAAAATTCCCCAGAAATAAAAATAACTAAATTTTGCCTCTTCTCTTCCTTTCAAGAAGCACATAAGAGGAAACATTTTGAACATAATCATGTAGAGATCCTGAGATTCATTCATTAAATAACTTCATTGAACACCCACTACATGCCGACCACTATTCCAGGAGCAGGGAAGAAAGTAGTGAGGGAGGCGAAGACCCCACAGTGTTAAGGCTTGCAGTCTCTCTACTGGCGCAGAAGCACCAACACTGCATAAACAACATAATTTCAGATTGTGATGAATACTATAAAGAAAGTTAAGCAGGGATGAAATAATATTCAACTTTGGGTTAAGAAAGTGGGAAATAAATGGAATCAAGAGTGAAAAGATTTCTTGGCAATTATAAGCAAAGAACTTTTATTTCAGGAACATGATAGACAAAGAGAAAGAATAGAAATAGAGGACTAAGTTCCTGCCAGCCAACCTTGGCTTTAACTCCAGTCGAAGGCCTTGTCCTCCGGAGTTAGATGGAAATTAGAAAGAGGCATGAGGGGAGAGAGGTTTCAGAGAATCATAGTGAAAAACTGATTAAAAGTCAACAAAATAGGAATTAAGAGATCCTTGACGAGTAGAACAGTTATGTCAAGTAAAGAAAGTTTTCCAAGAATAAGTAAGTGACCAACTGGGTTAAAGGCTGCTGGGAAAATAAGATTTGACTCTCAGGTTTGACAAAACACAGGTTGTTAGAAACCTTAGAGAGAAAAAAAAAAAAAAAAGAAAAAGAAACCTTAGAAACCCTAGTAAGATTGGTTTCTTGGAGTCATAGGAACAAAAGCTTGATTAAAGTCTAGGGAAGAATACGAAGTAACAGCTATGTATAAAGAGTCCCCCCAAGAGCCTCTGCTAAAAGGGGAGCAGAGATGTGGTGGAGGAGCTACACAGGAATACAGGGTCAAGAGAATCATCTTTGCAGCTCTGACATCTTTGTACGCTGAAGGGAATGACCAGTAGACACCATAACTTGATGGAATTAGAGACGGGGGCAGGATCATTGTTATGCCAAGGTTTAAGCTAAGTTAGAGATGACAGAACTCAGTGTTGGGTGCATTTTTTTTATTCGTAAGGCCAATCAATTACTTCTGTTCTTTAAAGGTTGAGAAAGAGCTGCCCTCCATGGACATAGGGCTCTCCAACCATGGAAAAATCAGGAAAGTCACGGGAATGAGGCGTTTTCATGCTCCACAGGTGATTCCTATATAGGGGGGCCCCACCCACATTTCAAGAAACACTAATTTACACAAACACTTCTTATACAAAAGAAGAAGAGATTCTTTCACATGCTAACATGAGATGAGACTCGGAAAGGCAATGTCAAGAGACCAGAATGACTCTGCAGAGGGCGTGTCCACTTCAGTTCTGCCTGGGCCATTCGCCTCACCCCTGAGATGGAGAATCTGTGCAGAGCAAGAAGGGCTCATTGAGGTTCGCACCACCTCCCAAACCCCACAGAGAGCAGGTTACTGAGGGAAACCCAAAGAAACCCTCTGGCCTCATGTGATAGTTAACTGTGGTGTCAACCGGAGTAAGAAACACCCGGCTGGTGGGCTTACACGTTCCAGCTGCATTGGGGGATGGCCTCACTGACCAGGAAGTCTCACCTTGGATGCGGGTGGCTCCAACCAATAGGCTTGTAGCCTGGACAGAAGAAAAAGGGAGAGAAAAGGGAAGTCTCGCTTCTGCTTTTTTGCAGGCTCTCCAGGTTTCGCCATTGCCTCTAGACATTCATCTCTAGCTTCCAGCGCAGACCCCTTGGCTTCCTGATACTGATGTGCGTGGGACTGTGAAGTAAGCTCCAGACCTTTGACTTTGGACTGGATCCTTTGATTTCCAGCACACAGACGACTCCTTTGCACTCTCCCACTATGCAGGCAGCTATCGTAAGCCTACCTGCTAAATCACATATATCTGTTTCTCAAGTGAACCCTAATTACATGCCTCACTCGCTCTTCATTAACTTAAAAATCACCCATTTTGGAGATCACACAGCTGGGCGGCACTATATTAGTTTCCCACTAGCTTTGCTGTAGACGCTGCCTCTGCCTTGTGGGTTATGATGATAATGATGATGAGTTACTCTTCAGAGACAGAAAGGCCACTTTTCCGGAGACACAGTGATTCTTTTCTTGGACCTTCAGATGCCCAGGAGGTGACGGGGATGAGATGAAAATACCTGGCATCTCTTCCTTCACAATGTGTCCATCACTTAGCTGTCTTAGCCTTTGGCTCAGATTCTACTCAGCGCTGCACAGCGACATGTTGATCATTTTTTTAAAATGTTGTGTTCAGAACGATGCTATAGGGTTAGCTTGCCTACACTTGCCAGGTCTCTCTCTCGCCTTCAAGGTTAGACACCTACAGGTTCTGGGAATCAAACACCAGGCAATGAAAGGAGTGAAAAGCGGTGGCCCTGGATCTCCACATATTCCCAAAGGAGAGAGGATGCTCCTCCCCTTTCTTGCCTATCTCCCACCTGTTTATTTATCTCCTCTCTCTCTCTCTGCCCCCTCGGCCCTATGGGAGTGAAAAAGCTTGTCTGTGAGTAACGCTTCCTCTTCTCCATTCTTGATCACTGAATACAGCCTCTCTTTCTCCCCAACACCAGTCTCTGACACTCGACCCTCCGTGAGGTGCGTGTCCAGGCCTGAGTTTGGTAACAGCACACTTCAGCTCTTTGCCCACCATCTGTCTCTCCCCAGTCACTCCAGCTGGTGAATATCCTTAGGGTCACTGACTAAATGGAAGATCTAATGAAAATGGAAAACATAGACATTCTCTAGAGCTTCTTAGGTGCAAGCCACAGAACTGTTATTGGTTTACACAAACCAAAGCAATTTAGGGAAACATATGAGGGATCTGGTCAACTTCAAGACTTCCCTGATGCTATGAAAGATGTTTTTGGGGACGTTTTCTTTGGGATGGGAATAATATTTAAATCAGTAGACTCTGAGTGACACGTACTGCTCTCTGTAATGGGGGTGTGGACCCCATGTTGTTAGTTAAACACCGTGAAAAGAAATCTCAGCTCTTCTGACGGTTTGAATGTGTCCACCAAGAGCATGTGCGGGAACTGAACCTCCAGTGCAGCAACGTGAGGAGACGGGGCCTAGGGAGAGGTGACCAGGCAGTGAGGGCGGGCTGCATGGGCTGATGCTATTGCCCTGGGAGTGGGGTCACTGCCACTGGAATGGGTTCACATGAAAGGGAGGTTCAGGCCCCACTGCTCTTCCTTGTGGTCTTCTTGTTGGCTTCCATCCTACGAGGCACAGCCAGAAAGCCCTCCTCAGATGTGACCCCCGCCCTTGGACTTCTGGCCTCCAGAACTTCAAGAAGTAAACTTGTGTTCCTTAGAAACCACCTGGGGTGTGCTGCCATGTCATAGCAGCACTGCATAGACTGAGACATCTTCCAGGGGAGAGAGGGCTTTTGCCAGCAGACTGCTCTCAGGTCAGACTTGGGCAGCAGTGTCAACTCTTACTTGGGTCACTTGCCAGCTGACCTATCCTGTAGATTTTGAACTTGGTAGACAAGTGGATCCCTTAGTCCCTCTTTCTCTCTCTTTCTCTTCCTCTCTCTCTCTCCATCCTCCTCCTCCCTCTCTCCTCTCATTTTTTAAAGCTCTAACACAGACGAGTTCGCAAATACAAAGGGAAGACTGACAAATTGACGGGAAACATGGAAATCAAGCAATTCCAAGGAGTTCCAGTTCCAGAAACTGCTCCGAATACCTACTAGAATGAATAAATCCCAAGCGACCTCAGCTTTGTATCATTTAGTTCAGAATTTAAACTTCAGGCTAAGGCTGCTCAGTGCACTCAGTGTGGGTCGCATGGCTCAACTTGGGCCAGGAGAGACGGGGGCCAGTAGCCTATCAAAGGGTGAATCAAAGGAGGAAGGTAAGCTCCAAAATAAAATCAGGGTCACCTTTGTTCTACAATAAGGTGGAATGAGCATAGTAGAGCATCATAAATCTCTAAGATTTTACCCACATTTAAATACAAAACATCTTTCTTTTATTTTGCTCTTTGTTTGCACTTTAGATTTCTCATATAAGAGAAACCATAAAGTATTTAAGCTTCTGTGTCTGATTAACTTCACTTAACATTGAGGTCTCCAGGTTCATCCATTTTCCTACAGATGACTCAAATTTATCCTTCTTTACAGGAAAGTAAAAGATAGGTAAAATACAACAGTGAGATGGATGTTTTGCAGATAAGAAGAGGACCGGGGGTGGAGGGAGAGGGTGGGGAAGCGGGCAGCAAAAGCACTCAGACGTGTCATGTACAGGTAGCAAACCCCTGCAGTGAAAGCGGTCTTTGTGTACTGCAAACATGTACTAATAAAAATTTTTAAATAAATAAATAAAATTTTTAAATCAATCAGCAAACACAGCCACTTATGTAACTGTGGAAGGTTTACAGACTCCCTGAAGCCCATGCAGGTATTTCCTGGGACTCTTGCCTGCCCCATTGTCAAGAAATCCTGTCCCAAACAGATCAACTGTGCGTCCTGGGTCACTCCCTCCCTGGGTGCACAGACAAATGACTTCTTCTCAAAAAGGGAAAGAAAGAAACTGGTGGCTTTGTTTCTCTGTCGCCTCCTTCCCTCCCGGCCTGAAGTAAAAGCGCTGTTGGAGCCCTCCTGAAGAAGAAAGGTGCCAGCCCTGGGCTGGAATCCCGCCCCCTCACCACCAGCCACGACCCCCTCAGCTTGAGGCCCTCCTTGAGTTTTCGGTCTGTGGCCTTAAACCTCCCTGCTTTCCTGAACAGATATGATGAAGGTCACATAATGACACCAGAACATAGTTTGTAAATATAAAGTTGCAAACAAATTTTAGATACAATTATCCGTCTACAGATCTGCATACGTGGATTATCAGTCAGTCAGTGGAGTTAGTACATGGCTACACAGAGTCACCGGGGCAAAGCCTGGCTAATAACAAACATCTGGGAATCTTTCTAAAATTTAAACTCCTTCCTAGACCTACTAACTCAAAATTCCTAGGGGTGGGGGTGTATATGCATGCATTTATGAAAAGTTTCCTACATTATTCTTAAAATTAGCCAGATCTGGGGCCCCAACCACATTTAAAGTCAGAATTATTCAGACTGGTCTACTGTGTTGATGATTCTGATAAATATATCACTACTTGTGAGAGCATCTAGATTTTGCACTATAAAGGGGATAAAGAAATATACTATTCACATATTCCTCGCTAAAACACGCAGCCACTTATATGTGGTGAGTGACTCCAACAGCCCCACTGAGGAAGAGCCAGTACAGCAATAACTTGCTTACAGCAAATTCCACTCTCATTTATATGCTCAGAACCATTACAGTAAGATTTTACAGCTCATGATCATTTTAAGCACCATGGATTTATGAGTATGGCTGTTTCCAGTTTCAAAAACTTTGCAGAAATGTCTATAGCTTCCTGCAGTCCTTCAATACGGAGATGATGTAATGTATTCTTCAGTGGGGAGAAAGTGAGAGAAATTAAGGATAATGTGAAATATAATATAATGGTACCAGGATCTGTAATAACATTGCCTTTCACATCTGTTCTGTCTTTATTACTGAGATAAGAGAAATTTTTTTCTGCAATTTTCCCTTAAAGAAAAAAGTCCACTGTATCAGTCAGGGTTTACTAGAGGAACAGATATAATACAAGATAAACAAATGTACAAGAAATTCCAAGTTTGGCTTACAATGGTCAGCTACAGAGTTGGCTGAGGAAGTGTGCAGAGGGTGTCTGCACGCTGGAGA